CACACCTATATACCTATTTCTGATCAGCATCAAATTCTAAATCAATTTAAGCGTGTCCGTCTGGTCGTCCGTCCCCTTGATCGTTTGTGTAATGCCTGTCGTAAACATTCTCCTGGCGGCAAAATTAAAGCTCTCGATTTTAAATTTGGCAGAAGCATTGAAAGTTCTTGCACACAGGTTGGTATTGAAAATGCACCAAATCGGACGAAGGATGCGCCTACAATACTGTGTAAAGTGAATGCAGCTGTTTTGCAAAAGGAATCGAAAATTGGCTTCTTGTCCACTACTCATAAAGAGATAAATCTATAAGAATTTAAGGATAGTCTATGGGCGATGTAGTACCTGTACAAAAATGATAAAAATTGACCACACCTACTTAGCGTTATCAAAATGCAATTTTTTTTCAACACTTTTATAACGCGTAAAAGCAGGCTCCAAAAACCCCATAAGGTATATAAATTCATGATCAGTAAATAAATTCATGATCGGTTTGTAGTGTTTATGCTAAACATCCTCCGGTAGCGAAAATGAAGATCTCGCCTAAAACTTTTTGCAAATTTGTAAAAGAATTTGGAATTGACCTAAACTTTTCCAAGGACAGGCCTACAACGTCCACACGCCTATGCGATAAAAACTTTCGTTTTGAAAGTAGGAGAAATCATCTGCGCCCTCTCCTTACTATGGAGCACGGAAATGTTGTTCTTCTACTTGGTTCGTCTTTCTTTTTAGGACAACAGTGATGGGTATAAAAAATTCGGCCCTGAACGAATTTAATTTTCTTACTCGTTTTATTTTATAACTATTCTGCCTGTTCCCATTCTATCAAACGTTCTGTAAACTGTTGATCGATTAATATATCACATCAGGTCTGTTCGCTTCCAATGCAATTTCTTTAAAAATTTTTGGGTGGGATTCAATTCTCCCTGTGCTTAATACACATAAACACACAAATTCATTTAAAATTAACATATTAGAAAAGTAGCGTGGTATTAGTAAATGATAAAAAAAAAGAAATTTTAATATCATTTTGCAATAAATAAAAATGGAAATTTGAAATTTTTATATAATTTTTTAATGAAATGAATGAAAACCAATTAAAATTATTGATTAAAAATGTTTTCTCAAAAATATGAACTGAAAGTGATATTACAACACAACTAAGGAATAGTGCTTATTGTGTATATTATCCATCTGCCTGATTTTAGGGATAAAGTGATTAAAGCCAATGCAGGTGTTTGCTTAATTCATCTCGAATATTTTTGCAAAGTTGAAGACTTGATCAGGACCTACACACGCATAGCCAATTACAATACCTTAAAATGAAAGGAAGATAATAAGAAAGAAAATCGAAACCATTGCCAATCAGCCGAATAACATTTGCGTCTGAGCTCAACATACGCCCACAAATTCTCTATGCATTTAAAAGTGAACCGTTATTTTCAAATTTGTCAAGGATCTATTCTTTGCCCTTAAGCTCTTTAAGGGGGCTTCCAGAACGCCGTCTTAGTTCACGCGCTTTTGTAATTACCCTTATAAGGACTATCTTCCATTTCGTTAACATCGTTGGTGTATTTTATAATATGCAACTTTAATTTTATCCTGTACGTCAAGTATGTGCGTCATGTCATCTTAAGTTCTGTTAGTTGCGATGAGATTTTTAAAATTTAAGGGGTCACAATCTACCATTTGGAAATGTTATCCTCTCATTACCATAATCGTTGCGATTGGTGAAAAATGGTTAATAAGACCAGAATAAGAGAGAGGATAATACGGCGGCCGACACGAGTGTCGACGTGCCCTGCAAATTGGATATCCCTGCGATCACAAGTAAAGCCGAGAACAATTGATGTGATTTCAGCGCCTGATAACTATATTCATTCAAAATCTTTTTCAGTGCCGAATCCCGCTTTTGGTATCACTAATAGATCAAAGGTCCCGAAATTTTACCTTCAATGCAATTGTACGGATCTATTAACGTCAATATCAATATCGAATTCGGAATCGCCTTAGTGTAGTTTGTAGGATCTTTGCAAGGCAAAAATAACGTGAACCCACTCCAGGAGTAGACACCAAAAAAGGCAGAAACATCTTTACGTGACAAAGGCAACGGTAAAGCAGCAACCTTTGGTTATCAAAATAAAAACAATCTTTAATATTGCATTGGAAATAGTGCACACATTACAGGCGTCACTGACTTAAATCCCATACTTGCAATAACATCTAATGTGGAACTAGATAATGGTGACTTACCCGATGATGAAGTTCTTTCATTTGATTTGACTGCAACTTTTGATTGAATGAAGTTTTGCTGGCATCTCGCACTCGAATATAAATATTGCGATTTTATAGTGCATGCAAGCAGTACGACACCTATTCCGACAGGCAAAGTCGTGTTCACGCACCCTCCGGAGGGACCCAATTTTTACCTTAAAATCCTTTCGTTCATTTTTGCTGCGAATATAAAGAAAACGTAGGTTTTGTAAAACTGTAACCAAGTAGGGAACGCTATTATTCTTTCTATATAGATCGAAATTTATATTTTGTTATTTGCGATAAGTGCGAGAATCAGATGAGAGATGAATGCCAACTTCGTGACATACCTTACATTTTGAATTTTTACTTTTTATACCTATCGCCGAAGAATGAAGAGTATATTCATTTTGTCAATGCCCAGAACCAAGCATCAGAAAACCCACAAGGTATATGTATTCTTGGTCAGCATCAAATTCGAAATCCTTATAGGCATGCCCGTCTGCCCGTCTTGGTAATGTCTGTTGCAAACATCCTCCTGGCCGCAAAACAATAGCAGAACACTAGCATTTGAGGGCATCGGCTTTATTGAAAACCCTGCCGCAGTTGAAATTTGAACCCACGACCAATGTGTTGTTAATAGAGATCTTTATCCTACTCGGTCGCTCCTTTGTAAGATAGTGAATTTTTGGAAAAATAAATCAAATTTAATATTCAGCTTAAAATCGCCTGCATTTCTTACCAATTCTTTGTCTACGGCCGGCCCAGCTGATAGCTCAAGAAACGATTAACCAGAATTCGCGGAAAAACCGATTAACGAACGCACACACACAATGAACTTAGGTATTTACCAATACTAATGCTTGCTTATATTATAAAAGGGTATATAAGCAGAATATTTGCCGACAGCAAGCCAAGGGAATTGAATCGTAATTTTCAAACGGCAATACCAGAAAAGGCATTGCAAATATAAGTTACTGTAAATAGATTTCCTAAAAATTGTAAAATGAAACTTGTGCTATTCTAAAAAACAACAAATCCGTGACACAAACATAATCTCGACAGAAGTCGGACCTAAGATTTACCTAAAAAAAATATAAATATCTATGTATTCAGCCACAATTGTGAAGATATATAAAAAGAATTCTTTTCACATAAATATCTATTCAATCGGCCTTAAATTGCGACCAAGTTTTTGATTTTGATTTAAGTGACTACAAAAAAATTAAGTCAATTTCTTTTAGTTTCCATTGTAATTCAATTAAAGAATTTAATAAAGCTTTCAAAAGTGAGGTTATGTTATCTAAACTAATTTTTTTGTGATTGCTTAGTTTTAAAAATTCAAAAAAATTTCATTTCTCCTTTTGGTTCCAAATTTGAAAACTAAAATAGTAATTAATTCTATGCATAATGCTTGCATTTCATTAGAATGGCTCATTACATCGTCTTTTGTTTTATTTCATAAATGATTTTAAATGTGAATCTTGCACGTGCTTAATAAGCGCACACGTGCCTAGATTTTTCAGTCAATATCGAAATTATTTTGCATTTAATGGCAAGTAAGAAAATTATATTTGTGTTTTATACCCATCACCCTTACCCTAAAAAAGGCAAAATAAATACAAGAACTAAATTTCCATGTTCTATAAAATAGAGTGGGTGCGGCTGAGTTTTTCTATTTTCAAAGTAAGCGTTTTTCTCGCATAGGCGTGTGTGCATTGTAGGCGTGTCCTTGGAAAAGCTTAAGTCTTTTCCAAATTCTTTTGCCATTTTCTAAGCGATATTTTCATTTTCGCTAATGGGACAACGTTTACCACAAATACTAAAAAGTTGCGCAGAGAGACAGATGAACAAGCAAGCGTACGATCATATTTAGGTGAATTTTAAATTAGAACTTGGCCAAGAATTTATATACTCTGTGGGGTTTTTGAAACTTGTTTTTACGCATTATAAAGGTATTGAAAACATAATTCAATTTTGATACACTGTAACGCTAAGGAGGCGTGGCGAATCTTTAGCATTTTTGTAAAGGTAAAATTGTATAGATTTTATAGATTTTTATGAGCAATGGACAAAAAACCTATTTTCGATTCCTTTTGTAAAACGGCGATGTTTTCACTTCACGCAATAGTGCAGGCGGGTCATCCGACCGACTTGGTGCATTTTCAATACCAACCTGTGAGCAAGAAATTCCAAAGCTTCTGCCAAATTTGAAGTCGATAGCTTCATTTTTGCGGCCAGGAGAATGCTTGCAACAGACTTCGGACAGACGGACGGACGGAGAGAATTTGATGTTCATCAAGAGTATATATACTTTGTGGAGTCTCTGAAATTTCTGGGCGTTACAAACGTTTCATAAAATGAATATACGCCTCATCCTTCTGTGACGGGTATGAAAATGAAATTTATTTTTTTAAAAATCACTATCTCTTGAACCACCCTAAGATATACTGTAGCTAAACGAAGCACATCTCCAAGCAAACTTATATATTTTTTAATATATTTACCTTAAGCACTGGATAAAGTAACTGGCTCTTATAAGAAACAATGGCTAAAAGTATACTTCGCAATAAGAACAAAAAAAATCAATGATTTTAAGGAATACTTGAAATATTTTTAATAAATTATTTAAAAATATTAAATTTAAATAGAAAGTTGTAAAAAGCTTTAAGCAGGATAAGGATTTTTGTGAAATTTATCTGAAATTTTGTTCCAAATTTTTTCCATTTATTATCAATGATATATTTCAGGTGATTTCGGTCGCTATCAAGCCTGTCAGTTCTTCCTCCAAATATTGTCTGCCTTAACAGCTGGTTTGCATATGCTTTCCTTGGTGACAGTCGCCGCCGTACCAGAACATCGCTGCTTTATAGACGGTCTCGATAATAGCAGTTATGGTTACTTTCCTTGGAATAAGGAAGACTTTCTACATTCTATACCGCTTACATCAACAGGTGACTTAGATTCATGTCGCATGTTTAGTAGTGCAGAAGGGAATTCCTCTATACCATGTAATGCGTATGTTTATGATCGGACTTATTATGAGACCTCGCGTACAATTGATTGGAATTTCGTGTGCAATCGCCGTTGGATGGGTAGTATTGTGCAGACCATATTCATGTTGGGTGTTTTCACGGGAGCTGTGACTTTGGGTGGTCTAGCAGACAAGGTAGGACGTAAGACAGTATTCTGTTGGTCAGCTTTATTGCAACTAATACTCGGTGTAGCAGTTGCCTTTATACCCGAATACTTTTCGTTCATGGTGGCGCGTTATTTTTTGGGAATATTCGGTTCGGCCGGCTCGTATATATGCGGTTTTGTTTTAACGATGGAATTGGTCGGTACCAGTAAACGAACTGCCTGTGGCATAGCTTTTCAGGTGAGTAAAAGAAAAGAAATAAGGACTTAAGGAACTATAATTGAAAATTATAACCATTTCAGGCCGTTTTCGCTAGTGGCATCATGTTGGTGGCTGGCTGGGGGGCAGTTATAAAAGATCGTCAGATTTTACAAATTGTCTATGGCTTGCATGGCTTGATATTTATTGGTCATTGGTGGCTATTAGATGAGTCACCCCGTTGGCTATGGATGCAGGGACGCTGTGGAGAAGCCATCGATATTGTGGCAAAAGGTTTAAGCACGAACCGCTCTGGCATACCCATCGATAAAGATTATTTCTTACAAAAAGCCAAAATGCAACAGAGCGCAGATGATAAAACGAGTGCTGGTCTCGGTGATTTATTTAAAACTCCTAACTTGCGAATGAAAACGCTAAATGTCTGCCTATGTTGGTTCGCAAACTCATTAGTTTATTACGGACTCTCTTTAAGTTCAGGGAAATTGAAAGGCAATCCTTTTTTGATGTTATTTATAATGGGTTTAGTCGAGTTTCCCAGCTATATTGTAATAGTCTTCATATTAGATCGTTTAGGTCGACGATCCATTACCAGTACCTTAATGATTGCTGGTGGCTTGTGCTGCATAGTGGCTGCTAATATGGCACAAGGTTCTTCAGCTTCCACTGCCGTCGTTATGATGGGTAAATTGTTTATAGCAGGCTCGTTTGCAGTCATCTATAATTACTCGGCCGAGTTGTTTCCTACTGTGGTACGCAATTCAGCCATGGGCTTGGGTTCAATGTGTGCACGTCTCTCGGGGGCGTTAACTCCTCTAATTACTCTTTTAGATTCTTTTGATCCAAAAATACCTGCCGTTACCTTTGGCGCTTTAGCTTTAATATCTGGAATCTGGGTAATGTTTTTGCCAGAAACAATGGATAAAGCCATGCCGGAGTCGATAGAAGACGGTGAAAACTTTGGTATAGGCGATACATGGTTTGCTCAATGTGCCGGACGGCGAGAGAGCACCGAACTAGAAAGCCCCGAACAAATGGTGCCTTTAAAGACAATGGATAAGAAATAAGCCATATATTATATTTGAATCCCTTTGGAATATACTCACCAATAATTTAGAGCAATAATTAGAAGATTAACTGACTTCCCTATGACTTTTGTTTAGAAAATTTTATCAGAATTTTCTTTGGTAGAAAGTTTTTAAGGAATCTTTTTAGGATAAAGAAAAGATTTAGAAAAGAATTTCTTTTTAAACGCTTGAATTCCTGAATTTAATATATAAAAAAAAAAAAATTTTATTTTTAGATTTTAATAATAATAAATAATTAAAAAATGCATTGTCTTTAAATACATTAAAATTTTAGTTTTTTCTTTTTATTATTTATTTGATTATATTTCAAATCCTTGTAACACTTATATGTTTATCAAATATATGGTATGGTTTTTATATGATCAGGATTTATGATTGACTTCCTTTGACTGTGGCTATGTGTTTGTGAACAATATATTCGCTTATGTGTACGTATATAGCATGTGGTTTAGGTACATTCAAAACTGGTTTTTACAAATTTCTTTCTTTCAATTTACATATAGAGAAACAACGGATAATTGCATAATCGATAATATCCGATTATTCAATACCTTACACCAGCTACGTCTCGATCCATTTAATTGCGTTATTGTATAAGTATTGTTAAGTGATTATTGTCTTATCTGTTATTGTGAACACCCAAAAACAGAACAACCTCTATCCTTACATGGATTTTGAAAGCCGTTCAAAGGTAATTATTTGAAATTTCGTAGGCAGACGGATGGACATCTTAACGGAGGGACGTTTAGTCCTCTTAATTACGCAAATCGTGCATGATTCTTATTTTCTTTTTTAATCCAAACCAAGTCCCAACGGGCGGAGGACGAAATCCTTATTCGGAAAACGTTTCGAAGGCAATTGTTTTCATTTGTAGTTGTATGGGTTACAAATGATCATTTTCAAATATAAAATCTTTTGTAAATCGGGCCAAGGAGGAATGTTACGCTATACATAAATAAAATTTGAAAATAAATTCGAAACTAATCGTTAAACCTTTTTCGAGAAAAATTATTTTTTAACCTAGTACGTAATCGTTCGAAAGCAAGCCGTAAAGCAAGACTTTTAGAATGAAACGATTAGATCAACGCTGACTTTTTTTCAAAGACGAACGAACGGCTAATGATTAGCCGAGTGGGTAGGAATCACGACTGACCCAGTGCGGTAAAGTTCACTTCGGTCGTAGCTATTGTGAGTACTCGGTCGGTAAAGGCATAAAACTTACCGATTCAGCATGCACCTAGGTTGCGGCCATCACCTACCTATTACTTTTTTTTATTTCTCTTTGCTCACTTGTTTCTGACCGTCACCGCATACTCGAATAGGGGACGTCACATGTGGTAACAAAAAAAAACAAACGATTTTAGACATTTTCGGATAATATAATCATTTTTAAAAATCAATGTGGCTACGTAAGCATTAAGTGATTGCCTTGAGCAGTGATATTTTTATTATTAGCGACGCCTACGGACGCACGGTCGACCTTAAAGAAGCAAGTTGAAAGTTTAATAAAGAATTATCTGTAAACGGTTACTTTGAAAAAGTCTAACATTCTAAACCAATTATCTTATAAAATTCTCTTGTTAAGAATACACGTTGTAAGCGATTGCTTACAAATCGTTTGTCATCCCGGTTAACAAATAATTTGCGCAAACAGGGACGTGCTTGGATATACTCTACGGTCATTTGTGGTAACAACAATGTAAATCGCAACCAATTGCCTTCAACGATAATGCTTTTGTTAAATAGTAGAAAGATGGATCAGTGGATACTCTTAGATGCCTTCATAAGATGATTTTATGACATTTGTTATTGTGATGCAGCTTCTTCGCATCATCTTCTTAATAGTGTAAGTTTTAGACATTTAAAATCGAAAACGGAGCAGTAAGGTGTTTTGTGGACTAAAGAAAAAAACATTAAGCTTTTTTTCTCGACATACATACAGTAAACAATAATAATGAAAGTGAAATTTTCCTTTTTTTTGGTTTTTTGCATTTAAATTTAATAATATTTCATTGCCAGTAAATACATAGAATGGATTGTTGCAACACTGTTGGAAATTTTTTTGTTATTTTATTTTCTTTTCTTTTTTTTTTTCTTTTTATTTCTATTTATGTTCTACTCATAGTTGTTTTATGGTTAATTCGTTTTCGTTATCAAATCACATTAGCATTTTAAGTCTTGACTAAAAATTCTAATAAAAAAAAGTACATATATATATATATATATATATATATTTCTATTAAGTCTTGTTTTTTATTTATTTATTTCATTTAATTTTCAAAAAATTTAATATCGTTTCCTCCGTTTCAACCTGGTACAATGGTACGTTAGTTTCCTCATGGTATATGCATCACTCAAAAAGAAGCATCGAAGCAACCAAAAAGCAATATATATATGATATGTTTAACCAGATCTGATTTTGGTCATTTGTGGCCAAAGTCCATCTATTATTGACATTTGCAAAGTCGAAGAAGCGTATATCCTTATCGTAAGCCAAGTTGCTTTAATTTGTTTTATTTGAGGTTATGTTTGGAATTATTAGTTGAACTATTCAGAACTTATGGATAAGTGGAAATCACGTTCATACGTTCTCAGTAGAATTTTAAAAACCATTCAGCCTAATTACCTTGTAAATATAGTCCGCATAGTGAAAAAAAATAATGGGGCAACAAATAGTTCGAAAGCTATTCTTACAGCCGTCACCGAAAGTTGAAGGCCTATTGATTTGGCCAAAACATTTGCAACACCCAGAAAAATGTTTTGGAGACCTCCTTTCTCCCACTCAGCAGCACCATAAAATTCAGTGTCAATTTAAGCATGCCCACGCATGTCCGTCCATTCGTCGGTCAACGTGTAATGTCTGTGGCAAACTAACCACTTCCATGAAAACGAAACAATTGGCTTCGAATTTATCACAAACGTTGCAAATTCTTGCACACAGGTCGATATTAAATGGACGTGTGTACGATAGCATATAAACTTGGGATCCCCTGTTGCCAAAAGCCAAAAAAAGAATAAATTTTTTGCTCATCATTCGCAAACTACAGTAGACAACGCTATAAAAATTTGAACGTATATTGTATGGATAAGCTTTTAGTCCCTGTACAAAGATGGAAAAAATCGGCCATGTTCATGCCCCATATTATAGTTTAACGGAGGTTAGTTCTTCTGCTAAAACAACTGCAAACAGCAGAAATAAGTATCAAGGGCCCTATGAACTACACATAATCTTGATCAGTATGAAATATTCTATCTTTCTAGGCACGCCTGTCCTTTCGTTTTTCGTCTCTAGCAATACTTTAGATTGTCTTTGTAGGCAAGTTTATGTTAATTATGGGCGAAATCAGTGAAAGAATACGCCCACATTCCTACCGATCAACACATCAAAGAAATTCGTACAGGTCATCCTACGGTATCTATACAAAGTGGGAAAAATCGGCCACGCCCACTCAATATTACAGAAGGGAACCTTGCTTTGTTTCTTCTAAAACGGCGACCGACATAAAAGATACGATCACAGCCGAATATAATTTTCTTGCTTATATTTTTGAGTATCTAAAACCTGTTTTAAAAGTGGGCAGAAAAATTCATCCTTTAGTTAATAATCACTATAATAATATATTCACTTGACTAAAGAAATTATTTAACAAATAAAAAAAATTATGTTTATTTACATGGGAGCGAATTTTCAATATTCAAGGCGTCTAGATAAAAATTTTATACTATGTCGACCGATCGATCGAAACTTTCTTTTAAAATGGCCGCAGAAAACTTTAGGATCAAGCCCGAATTAAAAAGGCTTCGTTTACGGTAGACACGTCTTTATACGAGGATCCCATATTTTTCTACGCCAAAGTTTTCAATTCTCTTTGCAAATATTTGCCCCAAGTGTTAAAATAACTGGCAATTAAAAGTTATCGATTTTCTTTACCGGAAAGATAGTTGCAATGAAAGATGACGAGACAACCAAAGGATCTAAATACGTTCAACATCGTAAGCTGGCCACGAAAGTATATACTTTACGGAATCTGTAAAGCGTATGTTGGAATATTGCATACGGGACAAATTTCTTATGAGAGATTATTCGATGATCGGTATAGATATAAAGCGTTGATCAGTTGGAGACAAAACATGACCATCCTTAGACAAAGATCATTAAATATGATCCAAAATCTACCTATGGTTTCCGTCAAAGCCATCAGGTATCATGACCAAAGCAGAACAGTACTGACTACTGCTAATGCATGTAGTTACAGGAGAAATTTGTGCAATTATGTGAATCACTACAAGGCGATATGAAACCGTGTGTGAATCTTTGTTTTTATCTCCTTTTAAAACGAAGTATTTCGCTAAACGCTTTCAATGCTCTTTGTTTTTTTAAAAGTCAGTGTACAACGAATTTGTTTTAATTAAGATAACCGCTAATCAAATTTTCAAAATGGTTTATGAGTAACCCGATCAATGCATTTACCATTTTTTTGGTTTAGATTCTTTTCATGGTTTCATTCACATCATGGTTAAACTTTAAAAGCTAAACTTCAGAACTACTGGTAATTTAATTATAAAAAAAGGAATAAAATTAAAAATTATATTCTGACAATTAGTAATAATTTTTTTTAATCGTTTTAAAAGAAAGAACTTAAAAGTATTTTTTTTTTTTTCTTCAATACATTTATTTACTATTTGGTTTTTTTGTTTTTATTTTGCTTTTAATTTGATTATCATTTTAAATTATGTTCTTTTAATTTATCAATTCTAACTAAATTGTGTTTATATAACAATAATAATAATAATAATAATAATTATAATAATAATAATTTTTTGTTTTAATAATTTAATAATAATAAGAACTAAATAACACACGAACCATAAGAGTACAAATTTCTATTTAAGCCAAATTTCTATATATTTATTTACTATCGTACACACGGTGTTATGAACATTTTGTAATAAATATACTTACAATTTAGCGTAAAATTATTTATATACGCGCTTAGACATACATTAATTTAATGCTTAAAGTATTTGAAAATAAATTAAACAAAAAAACTCATATTAATTGTAAATAATGAGAACAAACGTAGTAGGTAGTTACGGACACTTTAAAGTGAATCTTAAAGGCCCACCACCTAAGAGACATTTTTTGTTTTTAATTATAATGGACCTATCAGGACCTGTCAAACATATTTAACCAATCTAATCGACGTGCGTAACAAATTGAAGTTTAGTCAAGGTAAATAAGTGCTCTTAGATGAAACAAATTATTAACGTGATATGTTTTACCCTAAGAGTAGACCAAATTTTCCCATAATTTTCGATAATTGTTAGCGGGGAACTGTGGACTATAGACCTCAGAAGGTCACATAGAAAGCCAAGTAAAGTTTAACACTGCAATGGCAAGAGAAGTTGTATTGCTTAGCTTAAGATAAGTGTACCTAAAGTACCTCTTGAAGAGTGTGAGCAATGCATCGCCCGATAATAAAATTATTTTGATTTTACATCACATAACAGCTACGGCTCTGGAAGAGGATCACAATTGAAAATTGTCCATTTTTATGTCATACATCACTTATGGTACGAGATTATATTAAGTTTGTGCGGACGTATGCCACACCCAAAAGGTCTTGAGATGGGCCATTTAACTTTTATTATAACTAAGCTTGTCTGCAAACCTATATGTCCGCCTTATTTTCTTGCGTTCAACAGTTTGAAATTTTTGAGATATTCTGATGAAATTTGGTACCCCGTCGTATGCGCTTCCATGGACAAACATTGTTAAAAATGGTCAAATCAGACAACGTTTTGGACCAGTATCCGTATAAAGCCTTCTTCTGTTATATGAATTAGTGTATTAAACGAAGTGGTATATTTAATGGCGGGCCATGTCCCACTGTAGTGTTTTTACTTCAACGCTGTTAAGAACGCGGAACTGCTTCCGAAACACAACCAGCATGAATGTTTGGATGAAAACTATTGCGGGTTTCTCCTCCTACGCCAGGGTGAAAAGCGAATGTATTTCGTGTTCGTACTTAAGAGACAAAAAATTGAAGAGTTTAGTCACCGACTTCTTTAATGTAGTCCAAAGGGCCCTTTTTTCCTATGCGAAAGTACTTAACTTAACAATCGTGCCGACCACTTCAATCTTCTCAGCTAAAGGAAAAGAAAAAATACATGATATGGTTACATATAATAAATAATTGTTCCTGTAAGAAATTTCTAAAGCGTTTAAATTTTAAAACTGAACCCATAGTTCGTACTTGACATGACCGTGAAATATCGCAACTTCCAGTTGTACACAATAACATACAACGTATATATAATGCCGAAAAGCATTTCATCCATTCGATGTGATACAATATAATGATGCAAAAATATGGATAAAAGACTTTTCAGATCGAATGATATCAAAAGTTTCTGATTTAGAAAAGGCAAGATCCAGATATATCCGTGATTGATAGAATTGCTCTTGCAAAGACCAAATTAAAGGAGTTCCATTAGGACGCTCTTAGTGTTACCAGTATTTGCAATAACTGGCCCCCCAAATATTTCAAAAATATTCATAAACTTAAAAACCCGTTTCCACAGGATGCCGGGCCTTCAAAAAAGACTGGTTTCGCGGAGTTGTAGATAAGTCTTTTTAAAGATCTAGTAATAATAAGATACATAATGAAATACCTTAATAAAATACATTTTTCTGGAAAACTTTTCAGCGTGTACTTGTACTAAAGAATAAAGTAAACCCTGTTAACAACAGAGTTTTTTTGATTATATCCTTGCCTTGCCACGTATGACAGTTTTAACTAAACGCCACAATTTTTGCGACTTACAGCATTTTAAAGAAAGAAAAACATAAACGGCCAGGACGGATATGAGTGTCACGCTGATAAAACATAGTCCGTTAAAAATGGATTGATAAAGTATACCATAGCCTTCGGTGGTGGCCATAGATTCCACACATTAGCATGGGGATTTTTTATTTATAGTCTTTACACATACGTAAATATATACATGTGCGTATGTAAACGTATATGAAATTTCGCCTACATACACAATATATATATAGATATACTTATATGCGTATATATTTATGTATGCGTTTTTGTGAGTGTGTAAATATGTATACATATATATAGATATAAAAATTTAATGTGATTAAAGTTGAGCGCATATTTTGATGTTTTCATTTTTTCTAAAAATTAAAAATTCTAAACAACTCTCTGAGCGGTCAAGCATTTCATGAAATTAACTTTTTCTATATTTTCTTCCGCTTTGCTTACTTCAAAGTGTAGATAAAATATTAATATGTTTTTGGTTTTTGTTTTGTTGTATATAGTTATAGAGAACAATTCTTTTATATATACGTATATATACGTATATGTACATATACATATATATATAGCAACAGCTACAGTTTAAAATTCTACAAACGGCAGCCTCATCGTACTCATTAAGCTTGAACTTTTAACATTTTTTACGATTTTTGTTGTTTTCATTTATTTATTTTGTTTTTTTTTTTTTTGTTTTTTTTTACACATATTTCTCTCTTTCAACTAAACTTAAAGGAGCTTAATATTCACAGCAACAAACAAAAAGAAGAAAAAGAAAAACTTTTTCTTTTATTTTTTATATAAACATTATATTATTTTTTTTTTTTTTTCGAACAACTTCAACTCACACTTTAACTAATCCTTAAACTATCAGCGATCCTTAGTAGAAAATCAAGCTCAATTTTTATGCTCTTTCTGGACATTTGGTATGAACAATGGGACGTTTAGGACCCGCTATTACACCAGAACCATCATCGGGCAATTTAGCTGTGTGCACAATAATACCGGGTTGGTCATCACTTTGCGGATGCAATTCATGTGATGCGCCCGGCGTTAAACTAGCTAAAGCTGCTAAAAGATCATGATTTACCAATGGTTCAGCTTCTTCGCGTGGCTCCCAACCAGCGGGCGGTGAAGCCGGTGGCGATATAAGAAACTGTTTAACGGGTGCAGGTGGTTGCAAATTTATTTGCGAGACTGGCGTTACCGGCTGAGCGAAATAACAAGTAATTACTGTTTTCTTATTGAATTCATACTGATGCAGTTTGATGCGCGCATTCGCCGCTGCCAAGGCGCTGTCATAATTGACGCGCAATCGCCTAAAACTGCGCAGCCATTGAAATGTGGCCGATTCACTAAATGTCCGAAATAAATCTTCCATTTCCTGTTTTAACTGAGGATCGGCGAACACCTCTGAATGGATATTTGTCACTATAATGGATGTTGGCAAATCGTCAAAGGAGTCACGATCAACTTCGGGTTCATTTTCGCTTTCAACATCGCATTCTGGCGGCAATGACGGATGTTGACTGGACAAACCATCGGCGGGATTTATGAAAATATCGTTATCGGGTGAAAGTTTCTCGGCGCTGCCCACTTCACTGCTACTGCTATTTTGTGCCGATTTAAGTTTTGCACTGTTACTTTCAGTGTTATTGTGTGAACTATGATTTGTACCATTTGCAGCAACATTCGTTGGTAAATTGTTATCCATGGCAGATGACATGCTAGAAAATACGAAATGAAGAATTGTTAGAAAAGGAAACGAATAAAAGACTAGATAGAGATAGATCTATGCTTGATTTAGAACGAATTTTGAAGTTTGAAGTTTTCCAGTAACGAGGCTAGTAAGATAAACAAATGAAAGAATGTTATGTTATTCGCTATAATGCTATAAGTTATTACCAAAACTATTCTGTAAATTTTTCTCCTCTTAATTCGATTTAAGTTGCTTGTGAATGATTACTTTCCATTCCACTGTGATGAGCTAAGCTAACGATTTCTTTTAATTAACATATGGAGACAATTTATTGTTTCTATTACATAACACACAAATGCTTAAACGAATTGAAAAAAATGAGAACCTTGTAACAGGACGCGGTTCACTATTAAATGCTCGATACCTCTTAGTATTGTATAATTATTCGTATAACGACTTTTCAAAATAAGCCTTCACATAGGCAGTGTACAAAAAGTAGTCTGATCCGAATCACTTTCAACAGCGCTTGTTCTTGCGCTTAAGCTTGTCGATGCATCAAATTTTATCAAATTATTTCGAAAATGACAATCCTTAGGTTGAACATAAGAAAACAGGGAAGACACCCAAGCAGGCGGACAGATGAACTTAGATAGATTTAGAAGGTGATTCTGAGGATGGAGGAGGTTTATCTCACGTTCTTCTGTTGCATACATCCACAAAAACTTAATATACTCTTGTGCCAAAAGTGGTATAAAGCACGACTAGTGCATAGAAAATCTTTGAATGATTAGACCACTACAACGGCCTACAAAAAATGTAGGTTCTTTGACTTTTTTTGAATAGAAGGAAGGGTTATAGTTATATAGAATAATATTAGAATATAATTTATGGTTATTAAGCACACCTTTAAGTACTAGAAAAACAATACAAAAATTTTCTTGAAAACTGTTAACAAAGGGCAACATTGGACTCATACCTGTCAGGGGATTATGTCAGTACAAAAAGGAATTAAAAAAAAAATCATTTCATATACATGTCCGAGAAGTACATTTTAAAAATATTACGTTTAGTGTGACGGTTGTGAATTTAAGTGAAAAAGTCCAATTTTAGACTAAGGAAGAAACTCTTCTCGTAATGAAAGTAAGCAAAAACACTATAATGCGCCACGACAGGGAAAGTGATCGAAAAGGCGGTTAAATCCGAGCCGTTTTCAACAACGGTCATCCTTGACCTAAAAGAAGTCGATGTACTGAAATTTTTTTTGAATATCTCAATGATTGGGGTCTTTAGGTTGAAGACAAGAAAACAATACATACAGCCGGACAGACAGTATAATATATATCTATGTATATAATAAAAGCTAGGCCGATCTCGAATTGCATACGTCCGCACAAACTTAGTGCACCTTTGTACCATAAATAGTGTAGGGTATGAAAAATTTCCATTGGTCTAAGCCCTAAGCTTTCATAAACTTTGCATTGCTTTGTTTATTTTTCTTTCTTTACATGTTTTCACTTAATTATGACTTTATTTCTTCTTTGTATTCCTATTTCACTGCCTCCTATTTAGAAACAGTCATTCCTATCTAGCCAAATAACATTTCAGCATTCAGTTCATCAAAATACCAAAACAACAAACAACGCTTTCTTAGCCTTGTTATCGCATATAAACTAGTTGCAACGGCTTTCGAAAGAGGATCAGGTTTTCCCGGATGATACCCATGAAGAGTGATTGCCGTGACCGAAGAATTTTACAAACAGATTCTTTTCAATTTGCACTTATCTTTTCTCTTTTGAAATCCTCCTCCAAAGATCCAAGATCCATTTTTATTTTCTATTTTATTTACAAGATGTAGAGAATTTCCGCAAAATTAAATCCATTTATTTACAATATTTTAATATTGAAATTATTTTAATTTATCATTGCTCACCTGTACCTTTTTGCGTAATCACGAAATTCTGACTGAATTTTGTTAATCAAAATTCTTTACTACTATCTAGTTTAATAAATAAGACAATTATATTCAGCTGCGATCGAGAATGTTTTATGCCTCTCGCCGTTATTCTAAACGAAGACTCAAAGGAAAGCAAAAAAATAAATTTCCATACTCCAATATTGAATGATTTTTTGAAAGGGGACACAAACATTTTTTTCTTTTTGGAAAAATAGAGATGATCTCAGTTTACGTGACATGGTAGGCGTTTCTGATTTGGCCCAATTTCAATGCCAACCTTAGCCTTATTTATGCGGCCAGGGCAGACGAAAAGACGGATATGCTTAAATCGATTCAAAATTTAATGCTGATCAAAAGCATAAGGACTTAATGGGGACTCCCTGTTGCAAGCGTTTTGACAATATGAATGCGCATCTCATTCTTCGATCATGAATATAAAAATGGTTTGAATTTGTGCTCACAATGCCTGCAGACATAATAGCTCGGAAATGTAGAAAGTGGTTTTATACCCTACATCACTTGCAGTAAACGCTATATTAAGTTCGTGCGAAAGTATGCAGCAACAGTGGCTAAAACCAGACCAAGCTTTTATTCTACCGATCGATTCAGAAAATGATATTGAGCTTGTTTGTCCTTCTGTAAATTTTTGTTCAAACTACAGACCGCAATTTTTGGAATATTTTGATACACTAATTTCCTCTGATCCAAGAACAAACGGTATTGAAAATGGTTAGAATCGGTTCACCTTTCCGACCGCTTCACATAAAAAAGTCCGTTTTGAGAAGTCATTATTTGGAAAAAAAATTCAATTTTCAAAATTTGTCGACAAAATGAGCTAACTAATAGTATTTCGACATTCTAAACTGGTGTGAAAACTTTGGAGGTGTGGTGTCAATTTTTGAATCCTAAATCGGTTCGTCTTTCCGTCTGTCCATTCTTCTCGTTGCAAAAATGAAGCAGCCGCCTTCAAATTTGGCAGCTCAGAAGACATGTTCACTATGCATCATTACCAGATACCATATCTGTTTCCCAAAGAAAAAAATTTTTATTAGTCCCTTACTTACTCGTTACTATAACCACCCAATATTAGAGTGTATCAAAATTTTATTTTTTTGTCAAATCCTTTGCAATGCACAATGTAAAAAGTACGCTTCAAAGACTCCGCAAACTAGGCATTCTTGACTAGTGTCGCATTGGGAAGGCACCTAAGCACATCTGTCTGTTCGTTTGCCCGTCTGTCCGGCTCTGTAGTATCTGTGTCCATAAACTGCAACAGATGCATGACATAAATTTCTAGTTTTATTCTACAGGAATTGAAAAAATCTGCCACGCCCATCCAATATTGTATTTGTTTAATTTCAAAAGTAACAGGAAAAGAGAAATGCCGGAAAAAGAACAAAAATTAAATTCATTAAATAAAGTCCCAACATAAATATTTGCTTTTTCGTGCTCAACATTGAAGGATGGAGGTGTAGTCCTACTCCTATTTTTGTTGTAATGTTTGCAACAAAATGTTTGCGCAAAAGGAAGCTCCAGAGACTCTATAACGTATATAAATTCTTGATCGGCTTGAAACTCTGAAGCGATTAAGCCCTGTTTGTCCGTCTGTGCGTATGTGTAGTGTGTGTTGTTGACGCTCTTCTAGTAAAAAAACTGAAGATATCAATTTCCAGTTTAGTAAAAACATGGGAAGGGTTTAATTTGAAACTGATCAGAGCACAGGTCCGCAACAAAGCGTAAGGTGAACCCAAATGAATATAAAATTCCAGCCGTTCAATTCAAAGGCTTCGGAGTCGAGTTTAAATGAAAGAAGAGTTTTAAGAGAACACGGACGAAAGAAAAGATATGGTCTTGATATGGTCTAAGTTTGAGTCTATAAACAAAACGTGTTGTATGATCAACAGTACTTTCAACTTATTTTTCTTTCATCTCAATGTTGTCGTGGTAAAGCTTAATTCTAGTTTTCTCCTTATAAGCGATTTCTTCCATTAATTTCATTCTTTCCTTTGCTTTATCATTTATACAATAACATATGATTTTTGTTTTTACTACTTTCTTGTCCCTTAAAACGTAACTTGCCATCACTTATAGATTCCGCACAAGTGTAAGTATTCTGAAGATATATCAAAAGAAAGCCTCTGAACAAAGTAACCTGCGACAACACACTCGTTCCATTCGTGCATTTAATTGATTGATGAGTAAGATAATAGGCTTATCCTGAAGCAGGTTACATGCAAAATTAATGGAAAAGTCAAAGGTCATGTATTAGCTGAAGCACTATCTCATTATTTGTAAATCATGTAGAAGATCTCACTTAGTTCTCACTAGTTTGCAAATTTAGCTTACGATTATCGCCCAACAAACTTGAACTACTGTCTACGACAGTAGCTATTGTTATGATTCCTTGGACATGTAAGCAAAATATAAAATTTCCATAATGTTGAAATATTTAACAGTCGTTCTCGTTTCGAATATTTTAATATTATTTTAATATATTTAAAGATAACGTTTCATGCCCTTGCAAAAATCTCTTTTATGGTAATTGTTATGAAGACCGTTACGCAAATTATTATGACAGCAATTTCACATACACGTGTATGCGGTATAATAAACGATTAAATTAAATTTGCTTGCTTTTATATCATTTCGATAGTTAATAACTGTAACTGGAAGGCGAATTCAGGAATGCTGGATATGGTAATTACTTCCCTGTGGAAAAAAGGCTGAATTTAGCTACGATTTGGGAAAGTTTTCCTATTTAGCTGGTCAAGTAATCAGAGTTGTATTGGAAAATTTGGAGTGTAACTTTTATATTATGATCCTTGTATTTGTAATATAAAAATTAACGAGACAAAGATTTATCAAAGTATATGTAGACTAAGGATAAGATTACGAACAGATATGATCCTGGCTGCCTTGCGGTATGTGCGGTGTTGCTTTTTCCAAGGTCAAAAAAACTGAAGAGACAATGTGAAGGAGACTTTGCGTCTAATGTGAGGACACAAAGCCGTCTCTGTTTCTTCTACGACATTGCTATTAGTTAGTTAAGTCAATAAAGTTACTTATTATGCCTT